GAAAGTTAATATTGTTCAGCTGCCACAAAACCCAACCCGGGGGTGTGGTGCCCAGCACCCCCAGTGCCCCGAGGTCTCTGGGGGCCGGCAGCTGGGGAGCAGAGCCTGGGAAGGAGGCGGCCTCTGGCTGGAGCTGGGTTTTTTTCTCCGCCCCAGGGAGAGCCAGCCCTGGAGGTGGGAGCTGCGGGAGGGCTCTGCCAGCCCCATGCTGGCGGGGAGGCGAGATGGGCTCCTCAGGAGCCCGCTGCTCTCACTGGGAGCTTGTCAAAAGGGCCCTGCTCTGGTTCGGTGAGTCTGCATCTCCCCAAGATGATTTGTCAGAAACGCCTCTGCAAGCTCTGGCATCCAGGGCTTTTGTGTCCCAGAGAAGAACCTGTGGTCATCACCCTCTGCCAACGGCAGCTTATTTAAATAATTTACTAGCAGGCAATAATAAATTTTGATTCTTCGCTGTGTTTTTTCTTGTCTTTCTCAGCGGGTGCTCTGCTGTTCTCAAAGCTTTGCCTTTTCTTTACTGATTTATTCAGCTCAGAATAACATGGGTCCTACTTCCCCCTGGTGCAAGCGCATGTCCCCATCCTCGTCCTCCCTTATGTCTGTACTAACTTCTCTCTGCCCCTTTTCTGTCACAGGAGCAGTGACACCAGTTGTCGGCTGTGGTCATCAGTGACTGTGGACAGACAGGCTCTGTGGCCGCTGGAAGTCCAGGGCCGCTTTGATGACCGCAGCAACCGTGACCGGGCAGGTCTGCAGTGCTGCTTCGCCCAAGTGCCAGTTACTGCGCAGAGGCTGGTGTGAGCAGCAGCTCTGAAACAAATCAGGGAACAGAAAATCAGGGAACAGTTTTTATAATTTGGGTAGTGATACCTAGGCCATCCTCCCTCTCCGACCATCTCCGTGCCCGGCTTTCTCCCTCCTTATGGGCCAGTCTCTGGCCAGCACCGAGGTCCCCTCTGCAGCCACCCGGCCCCAGCCTCACCCCTTGTTTCTCCCGAGTCTCCATGGGACGCCCCCCAGGTGCGGACCTGGGCTTTGCCCAGCACTTTCTGCATCAGCCTCAGCAACCCAGGGAAGGGGCAGCTCTTCCCCACCAGCTTCTCGCCTCTGCCCCCTGCACCACACTCATGGCTCAGTGCTCTGAGAGAAAGCAGCGCACCCACCACCCCCATGGCACCTCCGGACAGGGGGTCCTCCCTGCCCACCCATCAGCCCACGTGCCCCAGGCAGATCGAGCAGCACGACTTGCTCCCCAGCAGCCTCTGCACCCATGGGTGCTGCCCACCTCTGCCGCCAGGCCCCCTGGCTCGGCCGGTGGCTGCTCATCTCCTCCAGCCCCTCAGCAGGCGGGGCTGGGGGCTGTCCTTGGCCACTCCCTGCAAGGGACAGTGCTGTGCCACGGGGCTGCAGTGTGCAGGGGGGGCTTCTCAGGGTCTTGTCGCAGACCCCTCGCTTGTGATGGGGACGGGGTGTTTCATGGCCTGGTTTTCTGCAGTCCTTTGTAAACGCAGAGCTCATCCTCGCCTGGAGATGCTGCAGCTCAGCATCCCCAACTCCCCACGCTCCCACCTCCGAGCTCTTTTTTCTGGCCCAACTGCTTTCCCCATAACACGTCTCCACGTCTTTGACTGGGGCTGACACCTCTCGCTGTTGGCGGGAGCTTCTGAGGAGCAGTTTCATCTGCAGAGGCGTTCATCTCTCCTATGTCTCCACTCCCACACGCGCTGAGCCCCGCTGAAGGTGCTGATGATGCTAAGCTAAAGAGACTCCTCGGTCCCACCGGGATGGCAGCACCACGGGCGAGAGGGCGTCTGCCCGGTGCCCCCGCAGCCTCGCTGCGCCGGGGAGAGGAGTCAGCACCCAGCATAGACATGCAGCTGGGAAAGATGCAGACAACGATCAGGGACACTCCGGTGTAAAATGACTGAATCCGCAACTTTCTGCTCTGCGGCGTAGATGCTGAGGCAAGTTACGTCAGGGGACTGCGTCTCTGCTGTGCTGGAGAGCCGTCCTCCCCGTGGGCTTCCAGGAACGACGGGTAAGCCAGAATGCCAGCAGCAGCCTATTTTTAAATTCTGCTGTGCATGCGAGAGCTCCGCTTTGGCAGCCCCACTTTTCAGCTCTCTTGGTGCTATTTGCAGGTCATTAAAGACTTCGCTCCCTGTGATCGCAGGACGAGTTCTGCTCTTGAGTTCTGCAAGACAGCTGTACACAGAAAATAAATGTTATGTTTGCAATGCCTCCTGCTAATGCTAATATTACAATTACACTGCCTGGAGCCTGAAGCTCTCCTATCACACATATCATCAATCTGCATTGCTGCAGTCTAACGATAAGCTGAAAACAGTGATGAAGAATGCAGATCAGGATTGAAGGAGGCAGCTGAGAGAATCACCACCTCAGGCCCCATGCCCCGATTCTGGGACTCCTGGTCGCTGTCCTGAACCGGGATTTCAACCGGGGCTGGAGCCAGGAGGCCCGGCCCACCCCCCGCCCCACAAACCAGCCGGTCCTTCCGACCTGGAAGCAGTTTGGACACAGAAGCCTGGAAGGGAAAACAATGAATTCCTCGGAGCCACCCAGCTCCCTGGAACCACTGCTGCTCTCAGATCCACCTCAGCAGAAAGGACGCTGCAGCTCGCGCACTGCTGCCGTTAGCAGATTCCTCGTGATTTTATTATAGGAAATGTCTTGTGCCATCAAAGTGATGGACCCTTGGAGGTGACGCCCTGGGGAAAGGGGAGATTGTCATCCATCGATCTCCCTTTCAGCTTTCTTCCTTTATGGGCACTGTAGGTTTTTTTCTTCCACAGGCCTCCCCTCCACTATCTCATTTTGATGGTACAAGCCTCTTCACCTAAAAATATGGAAATTTTGATCAAACCATTTTTGATCACGTTCATAATTATCTGAATGCTTTTCAGGAACACAGAAAAGCTGAGTCTCCAGCATTAAGGTTTAATACCAGATACTAATCAGCCAAGAGAGATTTTAGGATAATTTATTTAAAATGTTTTTGAATATGAAAACCAAGTTGGAGACAAAAACTACTCCACACTAATTTTTTCATCTATCTTTCAAATTTTCCTTCTTCATGAAGCCTGCAGGTAGGCTTAAACGCATCTGGGGAATCACAGTCCCCCAAAGGATCACTGGACTCATCCAGTTTTCATCTGCAGCTTCTCCCATTCCCCTGTGTTATCTCTGCGCTGCATAATCTGCTTACTACCTGCCAGAGACCTCGGCTTCACTAGAGCACAGCTCTTCCAGCGACGAGCTCCGCCTGCGGAATTTGCTGTCCTTCAACCGATTGCCCACCTTGGTTTAGAATCACAGAATCATTTAGAATCATAGAATCATTTAGGTTGGAAAAGGCCTTTAAGATCATCGAGTCCAACATAAGCCTAACACTGCCAAGTCCACCACTAAACCATGTCCCTAAGCGCCATGTCCACACATCTTTTAAAGACCCCCAGGGATGGGGACTCCACCACTTCCCTGGGCAGCGTGTTCCAGTGCTTGACAAGCCTTGCGGTGAAGAAATTTTTCCCAATATCCAACCTAAACCTCCCCTGGCACAACTTGAGGCTGTTTCCTCTTGTCCTATCGCTTGTTACTTGGGAGAAGAGACCGACCCCCACCTCGCTACAACCTCCTTTCAGGTGGTTGTAGAGAGCGATGAGGTCTCCCCTCAGCCTCCTCTTCTCCAGGCTAAACAGTCCCAGTTCCCTCAGCCGCTCCTCATAGGATTTGTCCTCTAGACCCTTCACCACTTGTCTATATATAAAGCAAATAACAGGATATTGATTAAACAATAAAAATATTTTTGCTTTTAAGCAGAACTGACGACTTCATGCTCCCTCAGTTGCGCAAGAAATTTCACCTGGAGGGTTTCATAGAACCATCATAGAATGGTTTGGGCTGGAATGTCATCTAGTCCAACCCCCCTGCCGTGGGCAGGGACACCTTCCACCAGATCAGGTCGCTCAGAGCCCCGTCCAACCTGACCTGGAATGTTTCCAGGGAGGGGGCATCCACCACCTCTCTGGGCAACCTCTTCCAGTGTTTCCGCCCTCAGCTTCCTAATATCTAATCTAAATCTACTCTCTTTCAGTCTAAAACCATTGCCCCTTGTCCTGTCACTATGGGCCCCTGTTAAAAAGTCTCTCTCCATCTTTCTTATAAGCCCCCTTTAAGTATTGAAAGGCCGCAACAAGGTCTCCCCGGAGCCTTCTCTTCTCCAGGCTGAAGAACCCCAGCTCTCTCAGCCTGTCCTCACAGGAGAGGTGTTCCAGCCCTCTGACCATTGCTGTGGCCTCCTCTGGACCCGCTAACAGGTTTCCAAGGACATCCCATAAACTGAGAGAGGAGTGTCTGGAGAGCAGCCCTGCAGAAAGGGATCTGGAGGTGCTGGTTGGCAGCAGGCTCAACAGGAGTCAGCAGTGTGCCCTGGCAGCCCAGAGGGCAAACCGCATCCTGGGGTGCATCAAACACAGCAAAACCAGTCGGTCAAGAGAGGGGATTGTCCCGCTGTATTCAGTGTTGGTGTGGCCTCACCTGGAGTTCTGTGTGCAGTTCTGGGCCCCACCATTTAAGAAGGATGTGAAGGTCCTCGAATGCATCCAGAGGAGGGCAACAAAGCTGGTGAAAGGGCTGGAAGGCATGTCCTCTTGAGGAGCGGCTGAGGACTCTGGGTTTGTCTCATTTGGAGAGAAGGCTGAGGGGTGACCTCATCACTCTCTACAGCTTCCTGAGGAGGGGATGTGGAGAAGGAGATGCTGATCTCTTCTCCCTGGCATCCAGGGACAGGACACCTGGGAGCGGTTCAAAGCTGCGCCAGGGGAGGTTCAGACTTGACACGAGGAAGCATTCCTTTACCGAAAGGGTGTTCAAGCCTGGAACAGGCTTCATAGAGAGGTGGTTGATGCCGCAAGCCTGTCAGTGTTCAAGAGGCGTTTGGACAATGCCCTTAAATAACATGCTTTAACTTTTGGTCAGCCCTGAAGTGGTCAGGCAGTTGGACTAGGTGATCGTTGTACGTCCCTTCCAGCAGAAATACTCTATTATTCTATTCTATTCTATTCTATGATTGCTCCCTACAGCAAGCCTTTCCTCCTAGGCCTCACCCAGCACCACCACGTTAATGCCAACACCCGAACGCCTGCCTGCCTGCCTCCCTCCCTCCCTCCGTTTGAACCCAGGCCCGGCTGCTGCCATCCTTGAGGCCCCGTCCTCCAGCCACCCCGGAGCACCACATCTCCTCAGGCTGGGCCCAGCAGGGCCGAGCACTTCTCAAGCCGATAATGGCGGATGAGGGAAGGGCCCTGGCCGAGGAACTCCGACGGCGCAGGCCCAGCCTGGCGCGGGGCACGCCGGGAGCTGTAGTCCCGTGCCTGGGACTACAGGGGCACATCCGGCACGCCCAGCCGCAGAGGCGGGACTACAGCTCCCGGCGTGCCCCGCGAGGGAGGCCTCCGCGCTTGCGCAGATCAGGACTACAGCTCCCGGCCTGCCTTGCTGCGAGGCG